AATCAATGAAATAAAAAGCTGGTTCTTTTGAGATCAAAACCAGTGTGCTCAATGATGGTGTTGAAGTTATTTATCTTGTCTCACTCTGAATTTGAGAAAGTTATGAAGGAAAAACAAGGAAGTATTAGATACAGACTGAGAGTTTAGAGTCTACATATTATTAATAAATATTTCTATCTGAAAAAAGATAAAAGGTATATCCTTTGACAAACCACATAGCTCTTCTGAGCAATAGTTTCCTCTGAAGTACGCTAAAGGGATTGAATTAGACCTCTAGAATCTCTTTAAATTCTAAGATTCTCTACAAGCCAAAGGAGATGTACATATCTACTGCTAACAGCTCAAAATGACCTGAACAAGGTCTTCTGATAAAATCCTGGGACCCTGAATTAGCACTTTCCTTAAAAATAACCATCTTGACCAAAGAGAAAAAGCTGTTCAATCTACCCATAACTAAATTAGTATCTTTTAAACATCAGCCTTGGGGAGAAATCAAAAGGGAATTTCAGTCTAATTTAAAATCAAGGACCAATATTACTAATGACTTAATCTTTACTTCTCTGCTTAACAACCCTGGGAAATCGCCATCACTTCTTACTCAATTTTTTCCTCATATGATTCCCAGTGAGGCTGGTTTTATGTATGTATATACGTGTGTGTATAATTACAAAATTAATAAGTTACAGAGGCTGGGATGGAATGAGGGCCTCTTGGTCATATAACAATTTGTTCAAATGACTTAGAGTCTACTGTGGGCCACGCATTTACATTGTCTGAGATATTTTAGGAACGTTTTGCTGCTCCTGTCTTTTAGGAGAAAATTACCTTACATAAACATACCATATATAGGACTGAAATCTGCCCTGAGTGTCCAGATCTTGGTAATCAAGTAGACTGCATAGCAGTTAATTTTAACAGCATGTACTCTGGAGCCAAATCCCTTGAGTTCCAATTCTGATTATACTATTTACTGGTTCTATAACTCTGGCAAATTACTTAACCTTATGGGGATTATTATGAAGATTAAATGAATTAATACATACATGTAAAGATATACTTATGATCCTCCTCTCCTTCTAGTTTAATAAGAATATCAGAAGCTAAGAATATTCTATAAAAATTATTAAAACAGTACTTTAATAAAACTCACACTTCCCACAATTTAAAGTTCCCCTATAAAGTAATATATAATATCTAAATATTTCAGTGGAAGAATTAGTACTTATGAAAACAAATATATATAAGTAATTGAAGGAATAGTTTTATTGCATAAACGTACTTTTACCACCAACTATTACATAGTCCAGTGACACTGCAGACCTCCCGAATTCTCTCTAGTTAAAATCAGACAATTTAGAAGTAAATACAGCCTCTACGAAGACCTCTCACCACTGAATATTTTAAAATTCTGCCAAGCATTGGGCCATAGTTGCTGCAAAATGTTTTAACTTAATAAGATCCTAGGGTATAATCTCTACAGGATGGGCCTAAAGCCTAAGTAATATCCAAAAATGCCAACCTCTTTAACCCCCCACCCCATTATTGACCAAACAATTAGAGTTTCATTGATCTTCATAGCTCACTAAAAGTTATATGAAGAGAGGGGTAGACGTAGGTCACATTCTAATAGTCATCAAAAATTGTGTGACCTGGCCGGGCGCGGTGGCTCACGCCTGTAATCCTAGCACTCTGGGAGGCCGAGGCGGGAGGATTGTTTGAGCTCAGGAGTTCAAGACCAGCCTGAGCAAGGGCGAGACCCTGTCTCTACTAAAAACAGAAAACAAATTAATCGGACAACTAAAAATATATAGAAAAAATTAGCCGGGCATGGTGGCGCATGCCTGTAGTCCCAGCTACTCGGGAGGCTGAGGCAGAAGGATCACTTGAGCCCAGGAGTTTGAGGTTGCTGTGAGCTAGGCTGACGCCACGGCACTCTAGCCCGGGTAGCACAGTGAGACTCTGTCTCAAAAAAAAAAAAAAAAAAAAATTGTGTGACCTAACCAAAGGATCTATTCACTTAGAGTCTCCCTTCCTACACCTGTAGAGATACCTATGCTCAGGGATACTGGGAGAATTAAAGGAGGGGGTGAATGCAATGTCCCCTCCATCCCCGCTAGCACACAGCACTTCTCAATTCATGTTCGTTTCTCTTTCCTTATTTGAAGGAGTGGGAGAAATGAGGAACAATTTAAGACTTTTTACAGCATTGATCTCACCTTTTGATATTTCGGACAGAAACCATCTATAGGTTAAGCTGTGCAATCTCAACATACATGCTCATTTTTACTGTTCCTTCAGAGGCTTTACTTCAAAACTACTATGAGAATTAGAACAGAGTAAGAATAATAATATTCTGACAGAATTAAATAAGAATGATATCTTGATGACTGCATTTTAAAAAAATGCCACTTTTGGACTAAATATTCACTTCAGAGTAAATAAGGACAAAGGAGGTATTATGGTAAGTTGATAAGAATCCTACGATGACTAACATTTTCTGCAAGTAGCCTCAAGAAATATCTAAATCTAGTCTACTTTAATTGACTCAAACATCATTTTTAGCAAACATTTTGATATCCAAAAGGATGAGACTAACAATTACACATGCAAAAGATTAACTCTAAATTATTTGGAAAAGTATTCCACAACTAATTTATTCTAGGCAGGATAGTTTTCCTCAAAATTAAACATTCTATGGGTGCAAAGTAATTTTCTTAAGGGTAGATATTTTAATTAATAAACCTACCCTTAAATTTTCTGAGCCAAAGCATTCTCTTCCATGTACAGAACTCAGGTTTTAACCAAATACTTGGCTGAGAGCTCTATAAACCCAGAGACATAACTAAAGTCTTGATTCTGCTACTTTCAGGAGTGGGTGGTACTGCTCCTTTTCATTCATACAATTACTAATAGTATCTAGTTCATGTGAATCTTTTTTCAAAGAATATTAACAGAGGTCATTCAGATAACTGTGGACTCCATCTGAGGACTAAGACTAGATCATTCTGGGATACCAAGGGGTTGCTTTCGCAAACTCCACTTACCATTTGGCCCTATGCTTTCATAAAAATTGATATAAGCAGCAGATATATACAGAACAACCGCGGAAGGCATAAATGTAAAACAGCCACATACTCAAAGACTGTGAACAATTTAATTAAGACAAAGCAATCTTGGAGCAATTAATTGTTCAATATCACAAACACAACAGTTGCACCCAAACCATGTTCTGATTAATGGCAACTAATTTCCTTCAATCTTAAAGGCAAGCTATTCAAACTAGGTTAACTCCTTGAAGAGTACTGCAATTCTATTCCTTTTTTCCGGGGAATCGAGTCTGAAAACTAATCAGGTAAATGGAAGTAAAGAAAATAAAACAAGACCCCCAAATGTGAAGGTATAAGAAATATAAACCTCCATAATAATCAGCCAACAAAAACATAATCAGGCTTTGTACCATCCCACCCTTTCTTTCTGTCTTAGAACAACATTTTGTTTAAATGTTGGGTTCAGACTTGAAATGAATGAACTCCGAAGTAAGTACCACCCACAATCCTGCCCGCCTCCAGCCGGAGGCCGCCAGAAGACACACCTCCCTTCCCCCACCCCACAGCGGCTCCGCAGGTAACAGGCGTTTCTTCTCGCGCTGTTTGGACAAAATCTAGAAGGAACAGATGTCTTTGTTTTTTTTAAAAAAAAAAATGAACGCAAGCAAAAAAGGCCTAACACACATACACCAAAAGCTTCTACGAAACTCGACTACTCCTGTTCGAAGAAAACCCTTTTCTGAACATTGCTTCACCGAAGGATGAGGAGCCGCCTGGTCACCGCAGAAACCAGGAAGCTCTCGGGGTCTCGCTGGGCCTAAATCCGCGCGGCGGGAACCCCGAGGCCGCCCGCAGGCCGCGCCGCGGCTCGGACAAAGCAGCCGGTGCCGCGGCCCCGGCCCCTCCGACAGCGGCCACTCCAGGCGGCGAGGCGCGCCGAGGCCTACCTTTCGCCCACGCCCGGTACTCACACACGCACAGCTCCACCACGTACGCGTAGTAGGACCACACGGCCACGAAGGTGATGAAGACCACCGGCACCCAGCCCACGATGCGCTGGCAGCAGCGCCACAGCGTCCAGGGCGCCATGTTCTGCCGGCGGCGGCCGAGACCAGTGCCCGACGGTTTTGGGCACCGCCAGACTCCCGGCTGCGGCGGCGGCGGCGGCGGCGGTGACTCGGGCGGCTCCTCGTCCAGCTCCTCCGCCTCGGAGGCAGGGCTCGTGGGAGCGAAAGTCGGAGGCACCGCCGTGACTCCTCCCTCCACGGCGCCCGGCCAGGTCCCCCTCCCCACCCGGTCGCCCCCGCCGCGCCGGCCGCTGCCGGTCGCCGCACCGTCGGGGGCGGGGCTTCCGCTGCCGGAGGGGGCGGGGCAGGGGCGGGTCCTCATCTCGGGACCGCCCATGGGGCGTGGCGAGACTGGGTGCATACTGGCTTGTGAGCAAGGGAGGATGGGGAAGGAGAAAAGGCACCGTCGTTGGGGGTTCAGGGCATCCACCCAGGCGGAGAACACCCCCCTGATGGGGGAGAGGGGCCAGGGATGGATTGAGACTCACAGGGGGGAGGGAAACTAGCGGAAATGATTCCTCAGCTGATTTGTGGGCCTTGGGCCTCTCCGTGTACAGAACTTGCTCCAGGGGAGTCCCTGGGACCCTGATTGGGGGGCAACCTTTTCAAATATGACAAGGCCATTCCCCACCCCGGGGTGCAGGCGAGGAATGTATATTGTTAAAAGACTTACGTGATTTTTGATGTGCCTCTCTGGTTAAGAATCCCTGTGCTTTGAAATAATTTGGTCCGTGTTTCACGCAGTACCCCTCCTTTTTTTGAAGATGGAACCGGTAGAGGCCTGTTATTTAGGATGGAGCCATGTGGAGTCTGTCCGTTTGATTTGGAACCCAAATTTAAGATTGGAGTTGTAAGTAGGAGATAAAGGCCCCTCTTCCTGCCCCCGAAATGACTACTGGAATTTCAAGAATTTCTTTATAACAGGAGATTGCTAAGCAATAACTGTAATAATGATAGAACCTAGAAGCATCACTGTGAAAACATCATAATACAAGGTCAAAAGCATTAGAAGTAATTCCAGACAGCATTCTTAGTAATAGTTCCTGTGACTAGGATGTCAGTTTTGGTTAGACTGAGATTTTAATAAGCCACTGCTCACTAAGGTCTTCATGAAGAAGACTTTCCCCTTTTATAGTGTGATATAAAGTAGTAAAAGTAAGTAATTATTTAACAATTTCACACTACTGCTTGAAGTAATAAAGCATGTGTAAAATATTTTGTTCTCCCCAATTTTGTGTCTTAAAAGTTGTGCTAGTTAGTGGCAAAGCTGATGTTAGGTTCAAGCATTAAAGTAGATCAAATTCAGCCTGTTTTCCAGAGAAACGGCTTAGAAGGGTTAGACCTCTAGATGGAATTTGGATTGACATGCAAGAACATAAAGCTCTTTCTCCTCCTGTCATCTCTATGTATCGAAACCATGCTACTAAAGCCCATCACAAATGCCATGTTTTCCACAAGCTCCACATCAGCTGGAAATGATTTTTGTTGTGCTATTTGGTTTACAATTCTAGCTATAAAACTATAATATTAGTTTCCTAGGACTGCTGTAACAAAGTACCACAAACGGGGGTTTTTAAAATAATAGAAATTTGTTGTCTCACAGTTCTGGAGGCTGGAAGTCCTAAATCAAGGTGTAGGCAAGTCCAAACTCTCTCTGAAACTTATAGGGGAGAATTATTCCTTGCTTCTTCCTCATTTTTGGTGGTGGCCATCAGTCCTTGGCATTCCTTGGCTTGCAGTGGCATCATTCCAATCCATCATCATGTGGCATTTTCCTTTTCCCGTGTCTGTGTCTCTTTCTTGCTTTCCTTCTTTGCTTTTTTTTGAGACAGAGTCTCACTCTGTCACCCAGGCTAAAGTGCAGTGGCGTCATCATAGCTCACTGCAACCTCAAACTCCTGGGCTCAAGCTATCCTCCTGCCTCAGCCTCCCAAGTAACTGAGACTACAGGCATGTGCCACCATGCCCAGCTAATTTTTTCTGTTTTTAGAAGAGACAGGGTCTCACTTTTGCTTAGGCTGGTCTTTAACTCCTGACCTCAAGGGATCCTCCCTCCTCGGCCCCCTGGAGTCCTAGGATTACAGGCGTGAACCACCAGGCCTGTGTCTCCTTCTTGTCTCATATTGGGTTAAGGGTCTATCCTATTCCAATATGACCTCATCTTAACTAATTACATCTACGAAGATCCTATTTCCAAATAAGGTCACATTCTGAATTACTGGGGGTTAAGACTTCAGCATATCTTTTGGGGAGACACAATTTAACATATAATGACACATATAAATAGTTTTTTTTTTTTTTTTTGAGACAGAGTCTCACTGTGTTGCCCAGGCTAGAGTGCCGTGGCATCATCCTCGCTCACAGCAACCTCAAACTCCTGGGCTCAAGAGATCCTCCTGCCTCAGCCTCCCGAGTAGCTGGGACTACAGGCATGCGCCACCATGCCCAGCTAATTTTTTCTAAATATTTTTAGTTGTCCGATTAATTTCTTTCTATTTTTAGTAGAGACGGGGTCTCGCTCTTGCTCAGGCTGGTTTCGAACTCCTGAGCTCAAACAATCCGCCTGTCTTGGCCTCCCAGAGAGCTAGGATTACATGCGTGAGCCACTGCGCCCGGCCACATATAAATAGTTTTGATAGTAATTGAAATAAGTCACCTTGCCTACTATCTTGTAAGGTTCTTGAAGTTAGAAAATATTTCTTAAAAAGAAAAAAGAAAGAAAGAGTTTCTTGGCCAGGTATAGTGGCTAACACCTGTAATCTCACACTTTGCGAGACTGAGGCAGGAGGATCGCTTGAGGCCATGGGTTTGAGACCAGACTGGGCAATATAGTGAGATCCTCATCTCTACAAAAAAATTTAAAAATTAGCCGGGCATTGTGTCTGTAGTTCCAGCTACTCAGGACGTTGAGGCAGGAGGATCCTTTGAGCCCAGGAGTTCAAGGTTACAGTGAGCCATGATTGTACTACTGATCTTGCACATCCTGTTTTCCCCACAGTGCCTTGCAAGTAGGAAATATTTAGTAACATTTTTTAAAAAAAAAAATTGGGGAAAGGGTCTCACTATGTTGCCCAGGATGGTCTCCAACTCCTGGGCTCAAGCAATTCCCCACCTCTTACTCCTGAGTAGCTGGAACTACAGTAAACACCACCATATCCAGCAGTAATTATTGAATGGAAATTTGTAGTTTTCTATTATTATCCAGCTATTTCCTAACTTTTGGCGTCACCACCAGATCACATTAGTTTCTGATTTCTAAATGACTGCCATATGTTCTAAGATGCTGACTCTTACATGGGATCTAGGAAATATTTCTGATCTATTTCCTTGTCCCAAAGTCATTCCAGTGAGGGCACATTTCTGAGGAGATAATAACATTTTTATTCTGTTGGGGATATTTCTGTCTTAAATGGCTGCAGACATGAACTAGTTAATGTTCTTTCACCTACAAGCAATAGGAGCCAGCATATGGCACCTTGCCATTTGAGGAAACAGTAGAAACAAGAAGGTCTTTCTGCCCACCCTTCACCCCTGAAGCAGGCCAGGAAAGAATTCTGACCTTGTCTCAGGCAGGCCACAGACCCTCCCTAGAGCTGGAAGTATATCCTCGAAGATATCCAGAGATGCCAAGAAGAGTCCGAACAAACAGGCCTTGCTGCGCTGTTAAATCCTTTTGCCTTCTAATCCTACTTCTTCTGCATGACTGATAAAAAATTCAAGTTCCCCGTTTCTTTGCGTCTTCATTTCTGAAGGCTCCTGTGTCACATAAAACTTCAGTACATGTGTATGCTTTTCTCTTGCTAATCTTTTATTGTAAGTGCCTCAGCCATGAGATCTGCAAGGGTGGGAAATCTTCTCTCCCCTCCACTACCACCCACCGAAATGATCTTCGGGAACTTCGGGAGGGCCGCGTGTGGAGTGGGGAAGCCGCAAGTCCACACTGGTTAGCGAAGCACTGGGGAGGACAGAGGAGGAGAGACGGGCAGCAGGCTCGGGAAGCAGAGGCGCCCCTGCGGCCGGAGCCCCCGGTCCGCGCCGTCTCGCCCTCGCGGCCGTCCTGCCCGCCGCTCCCGGACGGGCTCGGCCTTCCTCGCGAGCCCCGCCCGCCCAGCCTGCTCCACGCGGCCGGTCCTCCATCCGCCCCGCCTCGCGCCGGATGCTGCTCCAGGCGACAGCTTTGCTCCGGCGCGGCTTCCTTCGCTCTCCTTTTCTGTTTGCCTGCACACCGCGGCTGGGTGCGTCTTCCGCAAACCGAATCCGCTTGACACGCTTGAACGGTGCGACTCGTGTGTACCGCGGCGTCAGAGGCCCCCGGCGCTGCCGCCGTCCCAGCCCGCGCCCGCTCCTGCAGCCCTTGCTTCCAGCCCGCCCCGGGCCTGCCCCGCTGCCCTGCTGCTCCTGCAGCCGCTGCACTCGCCTGCTGGGGGCGCGCCGCTCCACGTGCGCTCGGCCGCAGTCCCGCCCCCGCCTGGCGTCCTGCGGAGCGAGCGGGGCCGACCCTCGCACCCGCCAACCCCTGCTCTCCAGGCTGCCCTCAAGTGGTTTCGCTTCGACAGCAGACAGACCACAGGCGACAGTCGAGGCGGGTTTCAGCACATGGCGGCTTGCCCCCGTCCCCGCCGCTTTTCTTTTCAAGTCTTTTTATTTTGAAATGATTGTGGATTTACAGAAGAGTTAGGAAGACAATACACAGAGTTCCTGCACATCCTTCTCCCAGCTCCCCCAAGTGTCATCTTACATAACCACGGTGTATTTATCAAAACTAAGAAATTCACGTGTGCGCAGCACTATTAACTCCACTACAGAGTTGAGTTATTGGGATTTCACCTCGTTTTTTCCACCCATGCCCTTTTTCTGTTCCCGGGTCTCTCACTGTGTTTCGTCGTCAGGTCTCTTGGTCTCTTCCAGTCTCTGGCTGGTGTTGCTTAGTCTTTTCGTGTCCTTCCTGGAAAAGTACGTTCCAAAAGTACTGGTTGGAGGCACAGAGAGACAAATATGGCACGCCATCACTTGCTTGTGGAA